TTGGCTTGGCATCTGGAACCACAGGCAGAAATTCAGAAGCGCCCTCTAGTGGCAAGCACACACAAACATACATGGTCTGTTTAATGGGCTACCTCTATTGCAGAAACCTTGAAGGACATATTTAGATGGCTTGGGGGGGCTGTCCCCACTCAAGGGAAAGCATGTAAGATTGTAGTTTGTAAAGGAACGAGGAATGAAGGGCATCAGATGTCCAAACCTAATCTTTGTCAAAACTCCCAGTGGGGATTTTCACCGCTTGAGTAAGCATATATTTAAATTTTGTGTTAAAGGATTATATTGAAACTGATATTCCTGCAGTAATCAGATCAAGATTTCATAGAAGCCCACTTTCTACAAGCTGCAAATCCAGAGCACTTGTGTGGTTCTGCTTGTAGCTTTCTAAGAAATGCGATGCCCGAAATCCGAAAACACTCCTGCATGATGCCGTGAAGCACTAGCTCACCAGTGACACCCAGTGGAGACAAATGGAAGTACATCATGTTGTCAGATTCTCTGGAAAGATATTTTAAAGTAGTTTTTTCTTCCGTGAAATATAAATAGTAGGGTAAATTAATACTTATGAAGGATTTGTCTTGTTTTGATAAAGGTCTCCTAAGACATAAATAATCATCTAGACTGAGATTAACAATGCCACACCATCTGTCATAGATTAGCATTTTTTTATGATGTTTAAAAGGTTGCTGTTTTACCACAGAATGTAAACAGATAGGTCTGGACAGCCCTGGAAGTCAGCTGTACTTAACAGCAGTTATCATTAATGCAGAAGGAGCTGCTCAGGCATATCCTGCTGGAGTCTGAAGCACTGCACCCCCCCCCCCCCCCCCCACCACACCCCTCCCTCGGTGGGCCTCCAGGACACTTCTGAATCTGTTTGCTCAGAAGGATGCGTAGGGCAGTAGATGCAGTTAACTGAGTCCAGAGAACATGTCGTTCCCAGTGGCGGTTCTCAGACCAGGCCTAAGGAGATGTTAAGGGGTGCAAGGCTATCTAGAGGTGGATTAGCTTATCTGGGGGCTGTAGGCTGACATTAGCATGGAGACTCTGATGTTGCCGACTTAACGAGCCTTTCTGTGGCGGGACGGGGCCCTGATATTCGCCAGGGCCGCAGGCACTATCCCGTCCCTGGCAATGTCATTTAAAGCAGGGATAAATATACAGATCCAGGTTGGGTTCTTCCTTTGAGTTCATGTTTTACGCTCCTGGGGAGTCACGTTCACTGCTATCAAGGCCAGAATAGGCAGTCGCCTAGGGGCGCCCAGTGTGTCAGAGTGGTGCTTGCTGTTTGTGTGCAGTCCTGTTAAGGGCTGAAAATACTACAGGCCCCAAATCAATTGAAGCTGTCTCGTCTCGATGCTGTCGTGGCGACGCCTGGGTCTGCCAATCTCTACGGTAATTTTACAGTTAGAGTGCGGGTGGCTGTCATAACCCCATATATGAAATCATGAATGGTACCTTTTAGAACCAGTACTCTGCTTAAACTAAAGGATAGTATCAGACATACTTGCAGAAACAGGCCTAGCAGCAGTTATTCCTGCAATAAATACTGAATGGCATGATATTGGGTTGCTAATTCGAATCCCACCACTGGCAAAGTTACAGGTAGAGAGACACACACTGATCCAAAAAGGTAGAATTGCATGGAAAATGGCCGCCGCCTCATAACTGCAATTTATCTGACAGAAAGCTGGCTGTTGGGAAAACCCATATTGTGGGTCTCCCATGACCCATCGGTCTCGTACCCGCAGCTGGAGCACCTCCGCGGTGAAGAAGGCTGCCGTCGTGTATCAGCAGGTGAGCCGGCATGTTCCACGGAGAGCTGCCACTGGTGACGTCCCGGGAACACTGCCACGCTTCTCCCTGAGTGCCGGCTGAAATCGCTCACACTGCCACTGCCACTGCAGCGGGCTTCTGCCACTTACATTTCCCATTTTCTGTTCTGCTCCTTTGCGTTTTGTGTTATCCGGTATCATCTCCACTCCCATTTCTCTATGCTTGGCTGGTTTGTTTTTTTTTTTTTTTTTTTTGCATTTGACACTTAAGTGTAGTGGCATATATCTTAATAAATAAGTACTAGCTGATGGTTCTCATGGGACTCAAAGAGCCTCACAACCGTATCCGAATTTCAGACCCTGCTGGATTCATTAGCGAGTTTAACAATCCGCCAGGATCACCCACTGAGCCATTTGGGTACATTTTTCTTGTCGTTTTTCCAGATGAATTTAAATGTGACAAAAACGGCCATCAGCGTCCGAGCGGTGGGACGGCAGCCAGGCCCGATTCTCAGGAGGCATTGAACCAGGTACCGACCTGAATAGCCGCAAGGGGAAAAAAACAAGCCCTTTAATTGGGTAAATCTCTGCAAATCATATAGTCATTGGCTGAGCTTGTAAACAATTTGCAGCATAGTTTTTAGCTATAAGGTCTGCTTTAGAGATTCCTAGTGGCGTAACAAAGCTTGCTTGTAGCCAGGGACTGAAGGCTTTGTGTCTAACAATCCTGAGCCCAACCACTTTCCAAAGCTTATCCCATGCTTCAGCAAAGAGGTTAACAGCAGCAAAATCAAGAGTGTTTGTGATCAGTTGGCTTGGCTACCTGCATAACCGTGTGAAGTGAAGGTAATTGCAGGTGTGAGGATTTGTGTGCATCCCATAATCATGGCTCTCCTGCAGCTATCAACAGGGCCAGAGCTACTGGGTTTAGAGCTCTCATTTCCTGCTCATGATGGGATCGAGTTGGGCTGCAAATCACATTAGCATCCCCCTGCCCCCAACACACACAAACAAGTCCCTGAATGCCATCGGCATTTAACAGTGCTAGCTGTTAGCTATTAGCATTAGTGCTAGCATTCCCAGTCTTGATGGGCCAGTGATGGGCTACGTTAGCATTAGCGCGCACATCCCCCACATCTGGCACGTCGTGGACAGGATATATTAAACCTGGCTTATGCTGTACTTGCTATTTAGGGCCCCATGTGAAAATACCAAATTTCCGATAACAGTTATGGAGACCTTTTATCAATTTCCTTTTTTTTTTTTTACTGTCCATGTGAAACAGATGCACACTATGTTAAGGCCAAGAACAGACTTCCACCCTCTGTCCTCGAGGAAGTGTCCAGTTGTTTACAGATTTCATGCCTTTCTGTTGCATTTGCACTCCACATTACTCCAGTGTGTCTGGATTTGTGATGCATGTTGTTGCACCATCTGTAGATATAAGTTGCTACAGCCCAGATGTTTATTTAGTGGGGTGAATTCCTCATAGCCTAAGGTTGCTGCATGCCTGTCAAGACCGCTCCGACAACAGAGCAAAAGATTGTTTTCTCCCATCCGTATTGTACAATCCTAAATACTTTCAGGCAATATCAGTCGTTACTGTTTAATTATCCACTGTTACTTGTGCCAATTAGGCAACATGGAAACATGACGTAATTCTTATACCACCTTCAAATACATAGAGCAAAATTACTTAAAAGAATGAATCTCGAAACAGAATACAAATTTATATATAAAGAATTTCTCCCTGGGCTAATTTGTTGCTGCTACTGTTAGTTTCAGGGTTCCCCGTTATCGGTGTTTCTCTGCTGTTGCTTGAAATATGATCCTGGAGATCAGCGAATTAAAAAAGAGATCAGTTTTGCATATGAAAGACATTAAACGAAACCTGTCCATGTTTCAAGTATTCACCTGACTCGGAGCCTGCGATTATTTTTTTTTTCTTTCTCTTTAATGCTAAGCAACCAGTTTAGCTGATGATGTTTGGTTGAGGGGTTTGTGTCTAATCAGAAGACCCGAATAGGACTGGAGTGTCTTGTGTGGCCGTTTATTTGGCAGCAGACCGGGGGCTTGTCAGACTCACGTCAGTGTATGTTGACCACCAAGACCTGGACGAAGTGAAACAATCCATAAATGAAGAGTAGGTGGTCAACCATGACCAAAGAATTAGACGGACAGCACTTACGTCGGCGACGACCTTGGGGGTGCAGTGGGAACCTTCTGCGTGGCCTGTTGTGCTGTGCCCACCATCAGCCCTCTGAGAAGAACCCCCAACCCACTGCAGCCAGCGTGTTGGGATCCAGGTCCAAAGAGAACGTGCAGATCATTGTGGAGGACCTGGGATCAGACAATCCCAGCTTCATCCTGGAGGAGGAAGAGGGCGGCGTCGAAGAGGGGGGGCCGCCGGGCCGCTCGGGAAGCTCGGTGTCTCCCCGCTGTGGGGCCCGGATGAAGAGGAAGGTGGAACCCCGGTCCTCCATGGTCCTTCAGCAATGTCAGAGCAATGTGGCCAGTGAGAAGGGCAATGAAGTAAAGGAGGAAGTGGCAGAGGAGGCAGTGCTGGATGAGGGGCCACTTGGGTGGGGGCCTGGAGCTTTCCTTCTACAACCCGTCATCAACCTCATCCCTCCGACGCCTTCGGCTGACATCAATGATCAATTCTTTGATCTCAATTCGGGGGAATCGCCCTCGTTGGGCAGAGAGTGCATAGACTATGCAGGAGGCCTGGGCGAGAGAGACCGGGAGAGTCATGAGGAGGAAGAGGAGAAGGTGATGGACAAGGAGGCATTGGAGAGTATGCAGGACGTGGAAGGTGCAGAGGGTGGAGAGTTTAGGGGGTCTCCATCAGCAGCCATTATGGTGGATGGAGCAAACATCAGCAGGGATGATACCTCATCCAATGAGGAAGCTGCAGAGAGGCCAAATTTGCATTTCTTCCAGCACAGTGCCTTCAAGGTGGCTCTTCTGCCTCAGTACCCCAGGAAGCGTAAGCCCCTCCCCTTTTCAGGTCATGTGATTTGCGGTCCTGGCAGAAAAGGTGTCACATGTTGAACATGTGAATTCTCAATTGTGTGTTGCTTTGATCTGATGTGTGTGAGTATTTCTGATGACAGGCATTTTTTTATACATCTTTTTCACAGTGAGCTTCAATGCAGGAATTAACCTGTTAAAGTTTACAGAGCAGGATTTGGGTAAGTTTCTGTTCAACTATGTCTGATAAATAACTGCATATCTTAAGGCCAAATGCATCTTGTATGTCTTACAGATATACAAAAAGGAAAGCACATTCATATATATAAGCATGTGTAGTGCATACTGTATACATATTGTGTATATATATATATATATATATATATATATATACAGTATATATATATTGACTATTTTCCTGTATGCAATCATTCCTGTAAATGATTACTGCACATCTGTTTTGAACATGTTTAGTCATGGAACTGGCATATGTTGGAATCAGATGTGTTGCATAACAGAAAACTTAAATGTTTGTATGTAAACACAATGTTGTACCTGTCAATTTAAGAAGAGTAAGGTCAAGAGGGTGGGCAAATAGGAAGAAAATGAGGGGAAAGGCTTTGAGACCGTGTTACAAAACACAAGTCACTTGGCATAAGTCTGTCAACCCTGGGAGAATGATTTCCCCATATATCATGTGCTAGACGACCACTGTAAGGAAAATGCATTGAGCCTGGATAGCCACCAAAAGAATGTCCCCGCAAGGCTCCAGAGTGATCCTGGAATGACGAGCCCAGCCACATTATTGACGTGTTTAAATGCTTGACAATTCTCACCAATGTCATCCAGTGTAGATGCTCCTGGAATGGATCTCTGTAAAACACTGGCAGTCATTGTATCTTTTTGTGTGCCGGCGGATGACAGATGCGTTGGTATTTTTCTTTCATATGCAGGTCCAGGGCCGGATTAAGAGCATTTAATGCCCCTGGGCAATAGCACACATGGTATCAAGAAAAGCTGATTGGTAGGACATGAAATTCAGAAATGCAACATAGGGAAAACATTACATAGGCCTTTTAGTGAGTGCCTTATTAAAAGAACAATATACGATGGTATTATATATATTAGATATTCAAATGCATTAACTTGTTAAAAGACATTCATGAATGGGACCGGGAGTGGGGGGGGGGGGGCTCATGGGGGGTCGCTCTACTTGATGCCCCCCAAGGACGTGGTGCCCCTGGCATGTGCCCAAGTGCCCCTATGGTTAATCCAGGCCAGAGCAAGTCATGAGAAATTCTGGCTAATTCTTAGCTTATTTTCTCATTTCAAGAGGCATATAACCAATGATTATTTTCTAAGTCATATAGCTCCTTAAATACTTCCAAGGTCTCTTTCACAGTAAGACTTTTGGAATACCTCCATGTAATGGTATCCTTCATAGGTCTTGCACGCTGAGCAAAATCAGTATGCACGTTGTTTTAGTCTATGTGGATGAAAATCCATGTTTGGAGCTTTTTTTTACTTTCATCGCTTGTGTTTACAAAGATCAGGGGCTGATTGTTTTGGGCGGGCACCTCGTATGCAGGATCTCACTACATAATCAATCATAGGCCTGTGCCTGTCACCACCGGCCAGTTTTCTCATGCTGTCAGGGAGAATGGACCCCCCCCACCCCGGCAAAAAAAAAAAAACTCCCAGTCTCCTGGGCACGACTACAGCAGAGCAGGTGTCCTTGCCAAGTCTTTCTTGTTTCCCAGACACTTTTCCTGGTCCCCGTCTCTTTCGGTGGCAGGGAAAAATGACTCAGGTCCACACTTGGAAAAGTTGTGTGTTTTTTGGGCCAGCTGGTTTAGACAAAAAGGTTATCTGCAGCCAATGTCCTGGGCTCGAGTTCCAGAGGCAGTAAATTCATATCCATACATGGCCTTATAGAGAGACACCTGTGCATATTAACCCTATAATCCACGTGTTTCTTTCTGTCTAGAACTAAAGAAATGAATGAGAAGGACATAATCCATTTGTTTATCTAGTACAGGGTCACTGTGGCCTTGGTGCCTACCTCAAGGTGCATGATTGAGAGGGTGCCCAGGTTATTTTCTCAGTCCATTTCAGGACAGGCGATCACGACAGGT